ATGATTCCTTAGAACCGGAGCTGGTTCGCCGGTTCAACCCGGTTCTGTGTAGTTCTATGTAGGAGGGATTTTTATACCAACCAAAATCAGACCTATAGTTAATTCACAGTCAGAACCGTTTAACCTGACCAGTCCAATCTGATTTTCTAAAGCACGCTTAAATCCTATCTGACATAAACAAAAGACAGCTTTTAAATCTGCATTTAATAAATTTAATTTATTTTCAATTTCTTTTCAGTTTTAACTTAAATCATGATATTGAACGGATTTATAAAATTTAATAAAGTTGTTAGAATCATTGCCATGCAGACCCATAAAGTCATGCATTTAAGTTTCATATTTTATGATTTTAATAGATCTATGAGTGGTTGAGAAATAATTACAACTTCGGTTGGATGATAGCGGTCAGATAAATGCTATTTATTTTCTCTCTTGTTTAGGAAAAAAATTTGTGTACATAAGACGCATGCAATGATGGGTACGTCCAGGGGTTATTCATGAGATACAGAAGGGTTATATTGGGGTTATACCCCTCAGTAACTCCTCTGTAACCTCTTTGTAGACTACCTGTAACCTACAAATGAGTTTCGTGCTTTTGTAGTTTCATAGGTACAAATAAGTTACACGGAGGTTACAAGGGAATTACACGGAGGTTACAGGGGGGTATAACCCGAATATAACTCTTCTGTACCCCCTGAATAACCCCTGACGTATGCAGCGCTGCGTACATCTTATGTACGCAAATATTTTCCCTTGCTTAGGTCTTTGCTCATCACTAACCTACCGTTACGAAGCATCTTTTTCTAATTCTTCTTTTTCTTTAGGTTTATTTCTCCTTGTAATATGATTTTATTCATAGACCACATTTATTTTGTTTTGTCTATTTGATATTTTTTATAATGATTAAGTTGTTATATTTTTTTTCAAATTATAATAATTAAAAACACGCATATTGTTGTATGCTGAAAAATTCAAGACAATAGAGTAATAATTTAATATATCAATATTATACGAAAACAAACACACACTGGAGATAAAAAAGGAACAGAAGGAGACACCACAAATTTTTATGTGGATGTTGACCTCATTTTTGGCGAATGTCAGTCAGTATTTTACTCGTCGAACAACTTCGATTAGACCGACAGATTGCATTCGCTATGGCACATGCAGGCATGCAATATATGCAACAGACATATAAAGATAGTCATATGACATGCAGAAATGTCAAGTATATGACAAACCAAAATGTCAAACATATGACATGCAAATGACAAGCAAACGAAAATGCTACGTGCCAAACATACTAAGTGATGTTACTCTTACAAATTGAAAATCAAAAACCTTGGTTGACATGCATTATGCGTTGCATGAGTTTAGTGGACAGGGAGCATGACTCGTGCTTATCACAATGTGAAATACCTATGATGCTCCGGCAATGTTGTAGGGAATGAGATGGATGACCTAAAAATGAGCCAACCCCTCCCAAATTGTGCAAGTGTTCATCCCCATAAATATAATGTCGCATGCGGGGAAGACGCCTACAATTGTCGGTGCTCAAAGAGACACTCAAACATACCACAAGCAACACATATGAGACAAAATACTTTATATGCATTGAAAAGAACCGTATACATCAAGTCAAATTAAGTTTTTCATGCACGTGCAAATAAACAAACAATATAATGCAAAAAACATGCAAACATGCAAGTATTTGGTCTACTAGGCCGTGACGGCCGGCCAAACCGAAAAGAAGGGTCGATCAATCCGAGTCGATCGATAAGACCCAAAGAGTGGGCAATCAGAAAAGGATGACCGACTTTTTGCCCACCTCATGGCTCGGTCGGCTTTTGACCTTGTGTTGTTTTTATCTCTAATTGTTGCATCCGTCAGAATAAGTGGTCCCCCATAGTCTTCTTTTGGTGGAACCTCATTCGACACACTATTTTTCTCTGTATTGTTAGATCTCATGAGGATCAATGTTGGTGTATTTTAGACGTACATAAAATTATTATTAATGATGTCAAAAAGTATGTAAAATTCCATTGTTAACGACTAAACTCCTTCAAACGAGGCCTATCATTCATTACAAAATTCAATTAAAATCAAATGTTGTGTTAGCTATAACATTTAAAAATATTATTTTTCTGATGAAAATAAACTAATAATATTTATATATAATATTAATTTTTGTTACAACCATTCTTATATATTTATAACCTAATTATTATATTTGCGATCTTGTGCATGTGCGAAATATATCTTATTATTATTATTTGCAAGATAATAAATATTTTTACATAATAAAAAACCTTCCACGCTACCTACCACCATGTCCAAAATAACAATGTGGAGCACCTAACCCACCTCAAAAGGCCCCTTCCCGTTCTATAATTGGTTAAAGCCTTACTTTTCAAATAATTTTATTTAATAAAAATAAAATACAACATTAGCCTTATTAAAAAAAAAAAAAATGTAAAATATTGTGGTACCTAACCCTTCTCCCCATCATTCTAAAAATTTATTTTCATTTAAGTTTATTTTTGAAAAGTGTAATTTATATTATCAATTAATTTTATATTAAATTTATTTATCCCGATCTATTGGTTGGCATACATTGTATAAAACACCTCGGGATGGGAGTTTGAATCCCTCTGACGCAGTTGGTCTTAAGAAAGTGGTACTCAACTTCTTTGACACATTAATAGTCTCAAACTATTCTTTTTTAATATATATATATATATATATAATCAGGGGTAAATTAATTCTAATTTTATATAAGTATCAAATTTTCGCATTTTTATCAATTTTTTTAGGCATCTAAAATTATGTGCATTAGTTTTGATCTATATCATATTTCTCACTTTATTTGTTAATTAATGACATTTTTATAATAAGATTAATTACTAGTCGGTTCTCATAAAAATTAATAGTTTTATAATTTTTAATGTATTGTATATATAATTAATTATTACATTACATCTATTTTAAAAAAATTACAAAATTAAACTAATTCACATTAATAAGTAACTTGTGGGAAGTTAAATAAAATGTGCATTTAGCGATAATTTAGCTATTTATTGGTTGAGATATTCAATGTTCTTCTACTGCCTTTGTTTTTTTAACATTTACACTTTAAAATTATTAATGTTATTGGAGGTATATATATGATGAAGAAATTAACCAAATAAGTGGATACATTGATTTAAATTTGTGACCATTAATATTTTAAATCCATCCAATAACATGAATAATACACAATAAATTATATTAATCTTCTTTGAAATATACAAATTCAATAAACCCTAAACCTTATGTTTAGTTTAGCATTATACCCATATATATATATATATATATATATA